CCCACACTACGAGCACGCACACAGCCAGCTCGCCGAGCGCTTCTCTCTGAACCTATATATTTCACCTGTAGATGTAACACCGTTTGTCTCCACCTCTGAAACGTACAACTTTGTCAATCTATGTTCACAACTCTTCTCTTTTATCAGCATGCCTGTCTTACAAAATTGCTCTCCTTGCTTTTCTTGTTTCATGCCGTCAGCTGGGAGATCTCCTCCAGCCCGCAATTTACCTGTCAGGTTGGGATATTTTTTTCTTTATATTTTATCTGATCTGTCTTTTCAAACGTGGAGCACGGCTTCTCTAAAGCTAAATGGCTGTCAGCCATCAGTGTTTAGATGGTCCCTAACGTGATAGGGCCATTCTCCTAGGAGACAGCGAGCTGTTCAGAGTACCTACAGTTCCTTGGAGAGGACTATCCAAATACAGCGTTTGGTGTAACTTTAAATCCAGAATCCATAATGAGTAACAGAAATGGCTTCAGATCATTTTTCTGGGTGAATCCAATTGTTTAGACTTCCAACTGTTCTCAGCATCCCACGGCAACTCATCTCCAGGAAAGAAAGGTGCCTCCTTGTGCCCTTGATCCTTTATCTCTGCCCAGTCTCCAACATCAAGAAGGACCTTACGTATTACTTAAAGCGTCTGGTGATAATCAGATGGCATCATGATGGCATTGTCATTGGAGACCACCTTCTGTTCTCTCACATTGAGCACAGTTCTCGTCATCGAGGCAGTATACACAAGGATGAGGTGGGATTTCCACCCCTCCTCTCCTTTGGGAGATCCTTCCCTGGGCTCTGCCCTATCTCTCAAGTGCACCATCAAAATGCCCCGAGTCCATGATGACCTATGGCTGGCGTCAGCTCAGCCTTGTGGTCTCCACGCTCCCAGCCCTACGAAGGTCTTCGCTCTTGGCTGGAGGATGAGGTGTCCCAAAGATCGGGTCATAAAAGCCAGTCCTGACACTGAGGAGGTTTTACGGTTCATAAACTGGGGCTGTGCTGTGGTTATCATCAGTGAATGAGGGGATAAAAAAAAAATCCTGCTTGGCTTGGATTAAGTCCTTGGAGTTTTTTGGAGCTACCCTGGACTTGAACCAGATTTTTCTTCTTACTGACTTATGTTTGACACCAGGGGAGGAAAGCACTACCCTTGCAAAACTCGCCCGTCCAAGCCTTTGAGAGCTGGTCCATATGGCAACGTGAGCGTGTGCTACACCTGATGCCAGATTCCATATGCGTGGTAAGGAAATGCATTTTAATCGTGTCATCTCCTGAGGAATAACAAGTGGGATGATTTATTGGGCATAATACCACGTGGCAGTCACAGAACATTGGCATTCAAGCTTAGCTTCACAGGCACTTCCCTTCCTGGCTGGAGAACCTGATCCTCTAACCTGAGATACCCAGAGCAGATTACTTACTTACCATTGTGTGCACCAGTAAGTCCAGTTAAGAGATCTTCTGAAAAACCCGTCAGAGATGGCCTTGGACACAATGCTCTCATGTTTATGTTTCTTTTTCTTCAACTAACATATTTTCCCACCTTTGGTGGAAGATCTTGACTGATGGTCTAGTGAACCTTCCAGATTTCTTTTTCTCAGATACCAAATCTGATGTGTGTTTTGGCTTTGTGGCCAGGAAAGCAGCCAGACATGTTTGTGACATCTTGGTAGGGTCCTTAGAATGCACGTGGTCTGCAGAAGGACAGAGCAAGGTGCAGTTACCCCGGGCTCTAAGACATTGAGGGAAAAACCAGTGAGAAAACTCAGTTGTCTGCTGAAACTCGTCTTCATTCACCAATGCCTTCATACACAAATTTTTCTCGCCATCCTTTTCTGAGCTGGATGTGCACGGGCTGTAACACAAACACAGACACTTATGCACGTCTCTCTCACAGAACAGGATTTCAGCCCTCCCACACAGCCAGGAGAATCTCTAGAACTAAAAGCAACTGAAGAAGATGAAATAGTGTGCAGATGAGTAGGAAAGATGAAATGCGGTATCTGTGTATTCCCAAAGAAAAATATTTATCTCTAATATTTACTAAAAGCTTTCTGATGCGATCTGGATGCAAAATTTCTGGGGACACAAGGGTTTAAAAATGACTTAATTTTCATAGTTTCAAATGTGTACGTGAGTTGCATGAAATACGTGGGGTTGGCAGCGCTATAAAAATGCAGCATGAATTAGGTTAATCGCTCGGCGTAAGATCCCTACAAACACAAAGGTTATGAAAAGTGCTGACGGGCATTTTGGCAAATCATTCTACCAGGAATTATTGCGGGAACTCCCACGAAGTTTCCCCCCCTCCAACCCCGCAGCCTTGATGCGCTGGAGCAGAAGCAATTTGTTGCGCTGCCCTTGGTCTGCAGCAGCCCCCCCAGGCTGGTGTGGGCACCAGGGCACGCATGTGTGTGCCCTCCAGATGTCATTCCTCTCTATATTTTCCCTCCGGACAGATGACTGCATGCCAGTCCTGGGAGCTGATGTTGCAGAATTGTGCCGGATAGGGAAAGCTGTCGGTCCCCTGGCTGAGGCTGAACGTTATCCCCTTCGGGTGGCAAAGCCAGTGCCAGAGGCACAGCTACGACCCAGGAGTGGTTAAGAAAGCAAAAACTGGGAGGCAAGACACTGGATTATCGCCTGGTGTGTTGTGTTTACATTAAAAGGAACATTTAAAGCAGAGAATATTTGTTTTTAGCTTGACTGCAAAACACAGATAATTATCTTTATGAAATTCCCGGTACTTGAAGATACATTTTTTTCTTTTTTACCAAAGTGATGTTGGGAATTGCGATAGGATACATGATAAATTATTCCCAGGACTCAGCGTACAATATTTTGGTGCATACCGTATGTCCAGAGAAGTACTGACATTGAAGAGCATTACGATCTCATAATTTAATAGTAATTTCTAACCTGACAGATAGGATAACTTTGCATTTTATATAATTTTCTTGGTGTTAGAAGCAAAGCAGAAGTCTTGTTGGAAGGTCTTCTCTGTCCAGGCAGATGCTCCTGTGCAGGCAGGTGCTTTGCATCCTTCACCGCTGTTCAATCAGTAAAATTTTCCCAGAAATTGGTTCAACCTGGCCAAAGTTGGGCACGACGGCCACGACGTGCAGTAACAGCTGGGTTGTTTGTGGAAGGGTTTTCTTTCATAATTTATTCCTATGAACAACATGGAAGAGAAAAAAATTCATTCTTATGCAATTTCTCATATCTCATAAATTATTTCATCGCACTTTATGAATGTTTGGTTCCATTCACAATAATTTTCCAATTTCAGTCTTATCTTTCTGCTCCCCACAACGAGTGCTTACTGGGGCTCTGTCCCGTGACAGCCGTGGTATATTGTCCTTGTTAACGAGTGCCATCCTGCTAAGTGATGCACCGTTACAATCGATGTGTCCAACTTTGCCCATTTTAAAACATGAATCCATGAACAGATGAGCAAATGAAATTCACTGCCGTGATGGACATGAACATGGTTTAGTGGAGGGTGTCCCTGCCCATGGCAAGGGGTTGGAACTGGATGATCTGTGATCTTTCCAACCCAAACCATTCTATATTTCTGTGATAATACCTCTGCTTCGCTCTCCCTACCCAGCTCAGATTGCTGTGATTGCCAAAGTTACCAACAGCCAATTAAAAGCTTGTCTGTCTGGGAGAACACTTCCAGCAAGTCTTTTTAACCTTTAGGCTGATAATTTCCAGCGTCTGTAGTCATGACTGCTATGATATATTGTTTTAGATAAATTTATATTTAACATTTTTTGGCTGCTATGCGGTGAACACCTCGTGAGGAGTCTAAAGCAATTAATTTGCTCCCCACCTCCAGCACGCTGCTCAAAAGACCCAGAAAGATGCACTTTGAACCAGGTGGTGGTTTTTGTCTGAAGGATATCAAAGTGCTCACCGCGAGCGTGACCCACAGCGGGAAAAGCCGGGAGACGCCAGGATTCAGAAAATCACAGAGATGCCTTTGTGTGTGCTCTGACTCTGTGTCAAGTGGACGTAAATTAGCTTTTGGGTCATATAGTTGTTCCTGCTCTCTAAACTAGACAGAACAAGCCAAGGAGCTACATATTTCAGGTCAATCTTCGTATTGTTTTATGTCGGACAGACCTCTGCCTATTTTCGGTAGTGCTCACACGGGTTGTCCTTATTTCTCTGTAACAAGGCAAACTCCGAGGATCTTATTTATTGGGTTTGGGTCCTTTGGGAGAGGAAAGCTCTTATTTATTTTTTAATTAACATGATGAAAAGTTTATTAGGGCACAACAGGTAAGCACTGGTGGTGTGGTGAACAAGGCACACAAGGGCTTTTTCCCTGGAGATAGGATGTGGGATGACCCTCCTTTTTGCACCCATGGGCACTCATTAGAGGCGATGAGCTGCTGGTTCCCTCAAGGACATGTCTGGCTTCGGCAGCTCACAGGATTCAGGCCTCCTGAGCCCTCCAGCTGATGGGGTTTATCATCCTTACGTATATCCAGCTGGCTGATATAAGCTACAAGGCCAAGTGGTTGTTACAAAGTGAGGGAACCTGTAATGGGAAGTTGATGGTGGGGCCACTGGCAGCAGGGCTGGATCAGGGGCTCCAGGGCTGGGCTGTGTGTCCCTTCAGCTTGCCCCGGTGGCTGGCTTTGCTTCTGACCACTGTACTTTGGCAGATGTCCACCCAGGGGCAAACCATAAGCCCTAATGGGTGCTGAAACCCTTCGGGCAAGGTTTTGACTGAGAACTCTGCCTTATGTTCTGTGATGCCCATCAGGTATGAAGCCACATCAGCAAATTCCTCCCATGGATCTGGAGGATGCTGAGCTGACTGTGGGGCACGGTCAGGAAGGGACCCTTGGCCAACTCCAGGAGTTTGGGGGGGTTTTGCAGTCCAGCTTTTTGTGTTATCAGCAGAGTCCTCCAGATGCTGATGAAGCTTCAGGTGTTTTGTGCTCAGCCTCCAGTAATGTCTTTCTCTGGTTATTTCATTTCAGCAAAACCATTTGAGAGTGGACAGTACCTGGACATCTATGGAATTACAAGAGACCAGGCTGGGGAGTACGAATGCAGCGCAGAAAACGATGTCTCGGTCCCAGACGTGAGAAAAGTAAAAGTCACAGTAAACTGTAAGTCATGTTGTTTCTTAATCCCTAAATCCAATGGAGAAGAGGGATGCGGCTGAGAAGGAAGGTCTAGTGCAGAGAACTGCTGCTTGTGGTGAAACTGTGGCTTGTTTGGGCTTTGTGTTACGGGAGCAAAATGACCTGTGCCGTCTGATGTAGGAGTTGGCCTCACCAAAGGAAGGGAAAATGAGATTAAGGCTCAGATCCTTCTTTTGCCCACTGGGGACAGCTGTGCTGGTGGCTGCTGCAGCTTTTGTGGGACTTGGTTTTTGGAGTGACCTTCTGAGTCGTTTCTGAGGACTGCTGGGGTGGTTGGGCTGGAGCGCTTCCGATGTGTGATAACATCAGGAGATAAGAAACTTTTTGAAATTCTGTTTGGGTGGAGATGGATCTCTGTGGAAATTTGAGGGCAAGTAGAGGCAGGGAGTTGTTCCGTGTGGTTGCCCTGGCATGAAGGCAAGGAGGGCTCTGTGGCCGCGCGGTTCTGCTGTAGCCATCTCGGTGGACAGTGGGTAACACCAGGAACCACCAAGACACCCTGTTACCTGTCACTGAGCCTGGCAGGTCTGACCTCTGGGGGCTTTCGCACTGAGGAGGGGTTTCCAGCTTGGGACTGAACTTGGTTTAGTACTTGGTATGACATGAGACATTCGGAACAGAGGTCTTTTTTCCTCCAATATGTTTAAAAACAGTAGAAAGGAAACATGAATAATTGCTCTTATTCGTTCTGACTATGAATTTTCTAGGTTAAATGCAATTATTCAGTTTGTCATCTGTAACAGTTTATAGTTGGAAAATTGCTGTGGCATCTTTATTGACCATAATTTTTTGAGATCTCAGCTTTGTGTCTCCCTCCACGGATCCTGTCCCTGTCGGTAGCAAAGCCCCCCGTCCCTGGCAGCTGCAGAGCTGGGGGTGGTGGGTTGTTGCTGGTGGGGCTCACCACGCTCCCAAGGTGTCTATGAGATGTTCCCGTGTTCAAGAGCTGACTGGACTCTCCTCCTTTACACAATATCAGGATTCATGTGGTTTGTGTTGTCCCAGGATGTGGTGGATCAGTGCCTATAGCAGAGCTCGGTCAGGCGCCGGTCTCACCGACAGCCTGCGGTGCTGCGCGGTCATCGGGAGGGCGACGCTGGGTGGGTGCTGCTTCCCTCTGCTGCAAGGCTCTGGTGGAACATGCCGTGACCACCAGTCCTTGCTTTACGAGTCCCAACCGCAGAGCAGCTGGAGGAGGCTCACGGAGGGTCCGTCCTGCTCTCACTGAGGAGTTTCCACCTCCATCAACTTCGCTGAACCCCCAGAAGCAGGTGGTGCCCTGAGAACCAGGGGCTGTGGGGAGGGAAAACACCAACGGACGGTGTCCTATGGAACAAGGGACCGTTATTTTTTGTGCAGTGTGTTGTCACTGGGAGATTGTCAATAAGAGAAGTCATGCAGATACTTGCACAGGTGTGCCTCGGGTGTTTTGGGGTGATGCTTTTCACACAAGCTGTACTCACGTGTTTTGTGTTAGACAAGCGACTTGCAATGGGCAGCAGAAGGAACGGTGAGCTCAGTCTGGTTTTAGCAAAACAAATATTGCATCTGTGTTATTTCATATCATGGGGATTTTACTAACGGTGAAATTGGCTCTGTTGGGAGCTTTCTAAGTGTTCACAGAAAGAGAAAAGTTGGTAAGTCTGTTTAGTGGTTGTTTTGCTTTTTTTTGGTTTTATTATTAAGAAAAAAAGAGCACGGAGGAGGTTATAAACTCCTTTGGTGGAGTCTCTCTTGCCTTCTGAGCAGGATCTAAACTTGGATGAGTCCTAGTTCAGAGAAAAACATCAACTTAGCTGGCCAAAGCCCACACTCAAGCTTTAATGCAACGGGCAGCTGGTGTGCTGGTTGACGTGTGCTCTGCACCCCAGTTCATGTCAAAGCCGGAGCTATTTCTGACCTCAGTCCACCGTTTTCTTAATGTGATTTTGAGTCTGTCAGATGTCTTTGTGGGTGGGAAAGATCAGCTCCAGCAGTGTTGGGAGGGTCAATCTGGGCAGTGGTGGTTCGCTCCTGCCCCAGCCCTTGGCCCTTCCAGCCCGTGCTGCAGGTCTGCGTGGCTGGCAGCATCCTGCTGGACCAAGGGCTCCCGTGGGACCGGCCGCAGGGGCTGGGCTGCAGGTGGGGTGGGATTTGCTCTCCCTGGACACTGAGCCAAGGGTTAATGGGAGACACAGTGTGTTTGTGTCAAAGGCTGCGCAGACTCGGGAGGCACCGCAGCTGAGGGGTGCTGGGGTTTGGCCGCAGCACGCAGCGTAAGGGTACCTCTGTCTGCAGCAACCAACGTGTCACACACTGCTACATCAACCAACGAGCTGGGGAAATACTTGAATAAAGTGTCCAAGCTGATCTTTGTCCCAGTTCAGCTACCTGGGCTGAGCTGGAAGGGTCCTTGGCCGTAGCGTGGATGCTCGTGACATTACGCCAGATCTGGGCACACTTCTAAGTCTGAACTGGGGACACGCAGAGTACTTTTTCTTTTAGTATTTCTTACAACTAAAGAAGAAAATGGAGAGGGGGGAAAAATAAAACTGAAGCAATGTAAAACTAGGATCTGGCTACAACATAAACCAGTTTGCACACGTGAACGCTTTGTCAGAGTCAGCTCATTGCTAATGCCCTTCTGCTCGGGTTGGTACGTCGTCCCCCGCCCCGTGCGGCGCAATGCAGAAGCGTTCCAAACATCTGCTCCCTGCAGATGATGCTCAGCCCTTCTGAGCAGGCAGGAAAACGGCTCGTTGTGCTCAGGAGAGGGTGATGATGGAGCTGGCAGGTTCAGGGAGAGCTCACCCTGCCATGGTCAGCCCCGTGGGCACGGTGCCTGTGGCGGCACGCCGTACCACGGTGCTGTACCGCAGTGCCGTGCTGTGACGTGGGCAGCCCTGGCTGAAAAGGGGTGCAGGGTGGTGCCCATCTGCTGTCTGAGCTGGCCTGGCAGGGCAGCTGTCGGTCAGGAAAAGTTCAATATTTAATTTAGGAGAGCTGTGGTTTGTCTGCTGGTCGCTATTTACAAGAAATGTCTGTCAAAGTTATTTTAAAGTTTTAAATCTGGAAAAATCTTAACAAGAGAAATACAAAAGAAGGGAAGAGCCTTCAGGTCCTTTTGTCACCTGGGTTGGGCAGTTTCCTGAGTTGAGTGTTCTTCAGTCCTGTTTCTTCTTTTAAGAACATACCTGCTCACTTTTTTGACAAACTAAAGAAAAGCCAGGCTTTCTCCCTCCACATCTCCCACCCCAAAATCCCATTCCTTTAATTTCTCTGGTTTTGGACACTTTTTTAATTCTCCTGCCAACGCCATGCTGTGTGACTCAGCACCGCTCTGCACCTCCCCAGCTCCGCGCCCGCCCCGGAGTCATTCGGTGACTGTAGCTCTGGCACCGGGATGTTGTGCCCATCTGCAGGTACCTCCACTGCGTGATTAATTCCACGTGTGATCTGGTTCCTCAGCACCACTGAAGCCATGACCAGCACTCCAGCCTCCCCTCTTCCCTCTTACAGGGACCCCGTAATTTCACGGAATGTCTCTCGCCTTTCCCCCCCGTAGTGCTTACGGCAGACAATACTCTTGGCAGTAACGTGTGGCTCAGGCGTCACCTCCTGCTTTCACACCCTCGTGCTCCGGTGGGATACGGACAGCGCGTGCTGCGGAAGCATCCCTCCATCCCAGAGCCTGAGCGATCCCAGTCCCACCCCCGTGTCCCTCCGCCGCGTCTCGTGCGCGACGCCCGGACGTACGATCCGAGGGGTGACGGTACAGCGCTGCGCTCGCATCGATGCGATCGCTTCCCCGCGGCTTCTGACAACTTCCAGCGCCACTTCCCAGCCACTAAAGGCACGTTCTTCCCTGCAGAGCTGGTAACTGGAGGATAAATGAGGGGTTCGTTGTGCCCAGTTAATAGAATGTATCAATGAGCCCTGAGCACTTACGGTGGGTATCAGCATAATTTCGAATATGGATATTCATCGCATATAGCCCTTGTTCAGTCATCCAAGCATGTACAAGAAAATTACCAGGTTTAAATTACTTTCTCAATTTCAAGTTTCTTGGCTGGGCAACTTCCAACCGTACATAAACAACGAGCTCGCGAGCTGCCTTACAGCACAAGAATTATAACTCTAATGGCTTTACAGATTTATTTTTTTTTACTTTATACTGCTTCATATTGCATAATCTACATTTTCTACTTAATTTATATCTGTCTCCTGTAATTTCCCTTTTTAAAAATGGTGGCCTGCGAGTCTGTGGTGCGTTTGTCTGCCTGAATATGGAGACTAAGGGAGGAGGGGGGGGAAAAAAAATAAAAAAAGAAATTGAGGCTACTGGTTTATGAAGAAGGAATACTATACCAAATCAAGTTCAAATAGATAAGATATAATCCAATATCATTTCACAAGTGAATCTTATTAGCGTTTTCCATTACATTTCATAAAGCTAATACTGATTTATGGATTATTATATTGAACCCTACTTTGAATGAACTGGTGTCTGGATTAGCAAGACTCCAGTATGCCATCTGAAAGCTGGTCTGAAATGGTACACGTGGTGCTGGAGCTTTGCTGACTTAAAAATGCCATACTTAAAAATATTAACGGCAGTTGCTAAATGCAAGAGTCTCCACAAGCGTCGAAACCGTGCTGAGATGATGAAGAGCGAGATGTGCACATCATGAAACCAGCATTTCTCTTAATTTATGTAAGATTGTCAGCTACCTAAACAAATAGCTAATGTGGACTTTGAAAGTGGAGCTATATCGCAGGATATAATTATATATATAATATAAAGTATTCCTTTTAATATATATAAAAAAAATTACACTAAGGGTCTGGTGTTCTGTAATTATATCTTGAACAGCTCTGTTAAAGCTGGATCTTGCAGACTTTACTGAATTAAGATCCAGTGGCTTCAGGGAGGGGGAAAAAAAAAGCCATTCAGTTGAAATTAAAAGACAATAATCTAATTTCAG